CAACGCCCCCTGCCAGCAGGAAGCAGCTAAAGAGACCAATGCTTCACCCCAATTCCTGATCCTCAGCCCCTACCCTCATCATTATTAAAGAAAAAAATGGGGGAATGATAAAACAATAATGTCACCATTTTGTGAATCAGCCAAAATGGCTCCCCTGCCCTTAAACAAATTCCAGTGCTCTAAGACAGCCCCACCCCCACCAAAGACTCCTGTGCATGCGCTAACTTCCTTACCCTCCCCCTTCTATAAAAGCCACTGCTCTCCCAGACTCAGGGCTGCGCCATCTTTCCCCAGCCAGCCTGGCAGTTTGGGCCTGCCATTAAACTTTGCTCTATGGACATGAGTTTTCTCCTGAGCTTTCTTTGAGAGCGGCGTTTTTCCTAACAATACCATTGTGCTATCCTGATTTTGCAACTGGCAGCTTTGGGTGCCTTGGAGTCACAGTAGCCCAAAGGGCCAGAGCCATGCTGAAGCTGGGGTCAGTCTGACTCTGACACTCTCCCTCCTCTCCAACTTGGCTGCAGAAGGATGGAGTTTAAGGGCGCTAAGGACACTGGTAGGACATTGGGAGAAGGGGACAGAAAACTTGAAGTTACTTCAGTATCCTTATGCAGCAACACTCCTTTTTATGGAGTAACAGTGATCCCATGGCTTTAGGACGTGACTAACATTAAAATGAAAGTATATCGAACTTTTTGGAGACTTGTACTCCACCTTAGCTACAGCCCCCTCCAACGCTCTGGGAAGAACCGCAGGCGACCTTACAGATCCAGCGTCGTTTGCGACGTCCGCAGGGCACACGCTGCAGGAAGGAGCCGTGCGCATGCGCATCACGGCGCGTCCCTTTGGCTCGGCATCGCTGCGCGCGCAGTGGGGCTGCCGGCCCTTTGCCCATCTGCGGCTTGTCGCTTGTGGAGTCTGCTTTCCAAGCCAAAGAAGACCTGTCAGCGGGGTGTCAAACGTTCGGCACCCGCGCGGACGGCGGGAGGGCGTCCATCACCATGACAGCGCCCGCCGGCGGCCCGGGTAAGCGTGGGTGCTCGGGCTTCCGGCCGCGCGGACTCCCGGGGGGTGCGCAGCACGGGCTGCTGAGTGGTGGGCTCCAGCGCGACTCTCCGGCCTCAGCCCCGGGGGCGCTCTGAGATTTGTCTGGCGGGGGAGGCTGCTGTCCTCCTCACCTCGGGGTCGTGGAGCTCTGGCCCACCGTTGAGAACCCTGGGGAGGAAGGGCGCCCAAGAAGGGCAGGCATGTTGCCTTTGGAGGTCCTGCTCGAAATGAGCGGCTTGAGACGCCCGCCTGCCCCCACTTGCAGTGGACCCGGAGGCCGGGGCCGTGTCCTCCCCTGTGGGAACCCGCGAGGGTGCAATGAAGGCGTGCGGCCGGGAGCACAGCCCCGGTGGTCAGGCCGTCGCCGTCGTCGGATCCCCGCTGTCCACGGTGTCTTAAGCCGCGGGCGCGCGCTTCTGCAGAAATGACAGCCCGAGCAGTCGCGTTAGACAGCCTCGGGGACACCGTCCCTTCTCAGGTTAGATGTTTTCCCGAGTGTAAGCCTCGCGCATTGTAGAACTTTTAAAGTGTATCGGAGTAGGGAAAAACAATGCTGCCATTACTCAGTATCCCTAGCAACCTTTTTGGTATTTTCTAACAGTCTTGACTTGGAAGAAAGTAGGGACCATAGAAAATGCAAGTTTTTTTTTTTTTAAATCTTGAATCTTTTCATAAATCTCCGTGTCACAAGAGCTTTTTAATAGATATAATTTTAAAAATAATATAGTCTCAACCTAAAGGAGTTCAAAAGGCGCAGTTAGGACTTAGAGTGAGACGATTTCGCACATCCCTCAACCAATCATTTCCCCTCCACACAGGCATTTTATTAGCATTCCTTGCATATCCTCTGAGAGATGTCTTATGTACATCTCTCACGTGTGCCATGAGTTCTTTTTTCTTTCTCCTGTTTTTCACATGCAAATAACTTTTTGTGTGTGTGTGGTGGAACTGGGGTTTGAACGCTGGGCTTCACACTTGCAAAGCAGGTGCTATACCGCTTGAGCCACTACACCAGTTCATTTTGCTCTGGTTATTTTGGAGATGGGGTCTCAAACTTTTTTCCTGGGCAGGCCTCTAACTGTAATTCTGCCAAACTGAACCTCCCAAGTAGCTAGGATTACAGGCATGAACCACTAGCGTCCAGCTCACAAAAACTTTTTATAACATTAGTTTTTAGCAGTTTAGAACAACATAGTTTATCTTGCTGTTACGAGGATTAGAAGTCTGAATTGGGTCTCAGTGGGCTAAAATCAGTGTCTGGAAGGCTGTGTTCCTTCTGGAAGTTCAGGCAGAGCTCCTACCCTACTGCTTTCTAGAGCCTGTGTTCCTTGGCTCGTGGTTTCTTCCTGCATTTTCAGGAAGCGCGCGCTGAGTCTTTCTCAGTTCTGTCACTTTGACTTCCTGCTTCCTTTTTCACTTGTAAGGACCTGTGTACTTGGTACACCCAGCAAATCCAGAGCAATCTCCCCACTTTCAGGGTGTCTGATTAACTACCTTAATTCCATTTGCAGCATTATTTCGCACTTTGCTATGTAACATATTAACAAGTTTCGGGGATTAAGACAGGCATCTTTGGGGCATTATTATTCATACTACAGTACGATTATTGTTTTTCACCTTTCATTTTTTTTCACTTCACATAACTTTGAGATGATATCAGTACATATAGAGTGCCTTATTCATTTTAAGGACTGCATAATGTTCCACTGTAAAAATATACCAAGATTTAGTGAACTCATTGTTGACGGACATTTTGGTTTTCACTCGTTTTGCTGTTACAAACAATACTGCAAGAAATATCCTTGTTTGAAATGTGTTATTTCCCCTATATGAGTATCTCTGTCTATGGAGTAAATTCATAGAAGTATGATTTCTGGATGAAAGGGTGGATAGACTTTTCAAACTTTTTTCCTTTGCTTATTGTTATTGACATAATTTGCATGCCAGATAATTCACTCATTTCAACAGTCTAAGTCAGTGTTTTTTTGTGTATTCAGATTTGTGCAACTAGACTCCATCAATTGTAGAAAATTTTCATCAAAAAAAGAATTCCACCTCCACACTTTAGTAACTCAAACCACTAGTAATCTTTTTTCTGTCTCTGTAAATATGCCTGTTTTGAACATTTCATGCAAATAGAATAATGCAGTATGTATGTGACCTCATGTCTGGCTTCTTTCCCTCAGCATAATATTTTTCAAGTTTCCTTCATGCTTAGCATATATCTGTATTTTATTATTTTGTAAGGCAGAATAATATTCCAGTGTATGCATATATTGCATTGTATATATCCATTAGTTGATGGATATTGGGCCAGTTCTTCTTTTGACTATCACGAATCATTTTAGTTGGTTTTATGCTGCTATAATAGAATAGCACAGACTGGGTATTTATCAATAAAAGTTAATTTGCTCACAGTTCCAGAAGGTGGGAAGTCTAAGACTGAGGGACTACAGGGCTTTCTTGCTGTGTCATAACATGGCAGAAGGCATCACGTAGCTGAAGGACCGGGGAGAGAGCAAGATGGGGTCAACCAACTCCCAAGATAATGGCATTTATCCATTTGTGAAAGTGGAGCCCTGCAACCTAACCACCTCCCATTAAGCCTCACCTCCCCACCCTGCATTGGGGATTAAGTTTCCAATACATGAAATTTGGGGAACACATGAAGAATGTAATGTGATTAATGCTGCTGTGAACATTTGTGTACAAGCTTTTGTGTGGACAGTGGCAGGTTATTTTTAATGGTAAATACTACTTCTGGTATACAATTTTTGGAACTCAATGTAACCTTAATAATTTTCTAGTCCAGGGATCAACAAACTTTGTTTTTTAATTTACTTTTTGTTACCTCACAGACTTATTTCTTTGAGATGAGCGCATTTTTGAAGTCTATATTTAGCAAGTTTGAAATGTACAATACATTGTTATTAACTGTAGTCACTATATTGAGCAGTAGATTTCTGAAACTTACTCCTTTTGTCTGAGACTGGTCCCTTTGACACCATTTCCCCTTTCCCCATCGTGTGCCTCTCTTCCCCTAGCCACTGGTAACCACCACTCCTCTCTCTGCTTCTCCTAGATTGACACTTTAGGATCCACATGTAAGGGAAACTGTGAGGTGTTCCTCTCTCTCTGCCTGCCTTGCTTCACTTAGCAGAATTCCCTTGAGATTCCTCCCTGCCCCAAATGACAGAATTACCTTCTATAAGGCTGAATAGTAGTCCATTGCGCACACAGCCTACATTTTCCTTATCTGTCATACATTGGTGATAAGTAGGTTGTTTCTGTATCTTAGCAATCATTAAAATTTTTTTCCAGAAAGAACCAGATACTAAATTTTGGACTTTGCAATATACACAATTCTATTTTGACTGTTCAACTCTACCATGGCAGTTTGAAAACAGACACAAATTGCCCTGGGCAAAGTTGATTTTAATAGATAAAACACAGAGATTTAGAGAAGCAAAACCATTATTCTAAATGTTATTATAATTGTGGATACATGTCATTATAAATTTATAAAACCTGTAGAGTGTCCAGTAAAAAGTGTATGCTAATTTTATCTATGGATACAATAGTATATCAACTTTGACTCATTGCTTACAACAGACACACCTCTAATGCAAAATGTTAAAAGGGGAATTTGAGGGGAGTGTGGGGGACAAATGAGAACACTACTTTTTTGCTCACTTTTTTCTGTAAATCAAAGTGACTCAAAAAAGTCTTAGTCATTAAAAAATTGCAACTAGTTTGCCTTTCTTTTAGCAATATTTTCAGTTACAGCCTACTTAAAATAGTAATATGAATACCCTAGATCATAGGTAACTGGAGCCTCCTTAAATCCTAAAAGATACAGACAGTCCCTGACTTAGGATGGTTCAACTAAGGAATTTTTGACTTTATGATGGTGCAAAAACATATCTGTATAACCATTTTGGACTTTTTGTTTATTGTTTGTTTTTAGTTTTCTTATGGTGCTGGGGATTGAATTCAGGGCCTTGCGCATGCTATGCAGGCATTCTACACTCAGATATATCCCCAGACAACCATTCTGTTTTTCATTTTTGGTATGGTATTCACTAAATCATAGGATATGTTTAATACTTTATTACTTTTTTGCCTAGCTATAGGTCAATTTGTTTTGAACCTACATATGGAAACAACTTAGGCATCTTAAAACAGATGAATAAGTGAAGAAGTCAGATGTGTATTCCCACACACACAAAGCTGAAGCTGAATACTATTTAGCCCTAAAAAATGAGATCTTGCTATAGCCACAACATGTACGCAATAATGCCTGCAGGACATTATTATTCTCAGTGAAGTAAGGCAGAAACAGAAAGAAAAAGTATTGGATGACCTTACTTACATGTGTCATCTAAAAAGATTCAGGTATGCAGAGATAGGGAACAAAATATCAGTTGGGGGTGGGTGGGGAGATGTAGGTCAGAGGATATAAATAACAAAATGTGGGATGAGCAAATCAAGAGATGTATAACATGAAGACTGGGGGTAATAAAATTGTACTGTTATTAGACTTATGCTAATAAGCAGATTTTAGCAGCTCTTGCCATAAAAACTTAAAAAATAGGTACCTGTGTGAGATAATGGATATGGTAATTTGCCTTGTAACCCTTTTACTTTCAATGTGTCTTACAACATGTTGTCTACCTTGCATATATACAATAAAATTTATTTTAAAACATTTTGCCCCATAAAAAACAGTTTTCTTTTTCACGTAAATACTGTCATTTTAGGATCTTGGAGTGAAAATATACTGAAGTATTTCCTGAGGAATAACCAGATTTCAACAGAAGATGGCGCTGAGATCATCTGGTATCACGCAGCTAATCACAAGGCACAGATGAACGAGGCGGTGAGAAGTGAGTCAGTTCGTTACTTCTGTTCACCGTGCATAACACGTTAACTCAACACCTGCTTTGATATCTAAGCAAAATTTTTTGAATTTTTTTGTATTTGCTAGATTAGATTAGGGTTAATCTGTCAAATTCAACGGACAAGGGAGTGCTTTCTTCTCTTCCACCTAGAGAGTGGAAAATAGCCATCTGGATATTTGTATTTGCTAGAATTTTGCTCTGAAGAGGGTGCTCCAGCATGTGGATCAGGGATGATGATGGCAGTTAGAAATTAGCACACTCATCAAGTTGTGCCCTCTGTCCAGCTTTGTAGATAATATAAGTAATAATTTGATCCCCATCTGCTAATTTGGCTATTTATTTCTCAGAGGCCATGTGGAGAATGGGGCTCTCTTTATTGGAACGTTCAAATCACCTTGACAGGCTGAAAGCTGTGCATAAGCTGGCCAGTTTCTCCACGTTCACCCACCATACTGTTGGTCCATCCCTTCCACACTGGCCACTTAGGGTTTCTCACAAAACCACGTTCTTTAGAATACTGTTTTTCTGCACTTTGACTAACCCTTACCTTTGGTGTCAGCTGAGTGACCCTTCTTTACCCTGAATCAAAATTCCAGATATCCCCTTCATAAGCGTCCTTCTATGTCTTGCTTCTTTCATTTGTCATGTTTTCAAGGTTCATTCATGTTCTAACATATATCATTACTCTATTCCTTTTTATGGCTGAATCATTTTATTGTTCTTTCATTAGTTGATAAATATTTGAATTGTTTCCACTTTTCCCTACTGTGACTACTATTGCTATGAATGTTCACATACAAGTTTTTTTGTGGGCATGTTTTCAGTTTTCTTGCATTATATGTCTAGGAATTGAATTGCTGAGTCATGGTAACTAACTTTTTAAGGAACTGCCAAACTTTTTAAAAATGACTACAAGCTTTTACCAGTGAGAACTGGTAGAATAGATAAGGATTCTAATTTCTCCACATCTTTGCCAACACTTATTATTATGCATTTTTTATTAAAGCTATTCCAGTGTGTGGAATAGCTCACTGTGATTTAGATTTGTGTCTCCTACAAGATTAGTGCTGTTCAGCATCTCTTTGTGTGCTTACTGAGAAATGGCACATTTAGGCATTTAGAAAGGCTAAGTGCCTTTCTCAGACTGCTTCTTGCCTATAAAAATTTGGGAGCCCACAGACCTCTTTTCTTTTTGAATTATCTCTGTTCTTTTTGATCCAAATGGATATATCTCCTATAAAAATGTAGTAGTCTTTTTATAAATGATAAATCATTCCTATAATAAAAAGTCACATATACCCTTCCTTTTTAAGGTTGACCTCTCTCTGCTTTGCTCTGTATGTGGGAGTGCTGGGGATAATACCCTTAATATTGTGGAACTTTTTCATCCGCCTGTGGGGACATGAGGCACCATCCTACTGAGGTCTAATAAAGGGTCTTGTAGTTGCACCATTGACTTGATACTGGCACTGAAGCCAAATTTTACTGGGGTGTCATTGTTTGAATATTTGTACCCTCCATAACTCATACTGAAATTTAATTGCTAGTGTAATGGTATTTGGAGGTATTTAGGTCATGAGGCCCAATTTGGAAATATTTCCTCTACATGCTACTTGAAGCCTGAACAGTTAATGATTTGGCTTATTCCTCTCTTCTCATTCTTTGTCATAGGTAGTTTACAAAGCTGTTTGGCACTGTGAACATTCCCCCTGGAAACCTCCACCAAATCCACAAATTCATTAGGTTTAGTCCCTGTCTTCTACCAGTTGCTATAGGTGACAGTGCTGCCAGAGTTTTACTGCTACATAAAACAGATTGTTTCTCATGCTTCAAGTAAGAATTTCTTCACTGCTCTTCCCACTTCCACAAGTAGTTCCTTCCTTGCCTTTTGTATCCTTCGTCAGGCCCCAGCATTGTTGTGGCAATACTCTACTTCCAGATGTTTATTCCTATTTATCTATCCCTGTACATAGACCACCCAAAACTTAGTGACTTAAAATAACATTGTGTATTATTTCTCACCAGTCTGTGTGTCAGCTGGCTGGTTTGTCTGTTATATGTGGTACAGGCTGGGGGCATTCATGGAGCTGCATTCAGCTGGGAGCTCAGCTGGGCCTGGAAATTCTGATAACATTACTCACGTGCCAGAGGATGTATGCTTTTAAACAGTAGCTAAGCTTTAAACCAAAGAAATGAATTTTTAGTATAGACTTTGAAACATAAATAATATATACCTATAGTTTCTAATTTGAGGATAGAGAAGATAAAAATACTATTCTTTATTCCCTGGAAACATCAATAAATACTTATTAAGCCTCCCTTTGTGTATTCATTTTCCTAAGTACTGGGAAAAAAGTGTATAAGTATGACTAGCTTAAGAATCATTTAGCTTCTGGGCACCTGTTTGCTCATCTAGAAAAAATAAGAACAAGTAAGGACCTAGTGTAGTATTTGGCATGTAGTAATTACTCAGTATTAGTTTTTCCTTTTGTTTTCCTCAGAATGGTACTGGACATGGCATCTCCTGCAGTTCTGCCCCTTGTTTTATTAGCATTAACTGAAGTTCTTTTATGGACAGGTACTGCTCACATGATAGAGGCCGATGTCTTTCTTCCAAGTGATGGATCAGAGCATGGCCAACCAATCATGGCCCATCCTCCTGAAACAAGCAGTGATAATACTCTTCAGGAGTGGCTGACTGAGGTTATGAAAACCAATAAAGGCATCAAGCTAGATTTCAAGAGGTATATATACAAACATGCTTTTGGTTGTTACTGAAGACTTTTTGGGGAAGAATTAATAACTGCACATATTTATGCCTACCCATTTCTGTACTTTTTTAAACTGAGAATGTAATTGTAGACTCAAATATGTTTCAGGAATGAACCTAAGACCCACTGAGCTATTTGCTCAAATTGTTTCTTAGGGACCTTTTGAGGCTAAGATTAATTTTATAAAGGAATTTATCACAAGTGGTCATTGTGATAACAAAATGATAAGTTTAAAATACTTGTATTGTTTAAAAGCAGTCTGGAAGGAGAAAGTTGAGAGAATTTTATTGAATTAATTCATATCCAATTTGATGTATGTTATTATATTGTAAGAGAATTACTTGGAATTCTTCAATGACCAAAGTGTTTCTTAAAAAAACTATTTTGGTATTGATAATGAAGAATAATGTTATTTCCTTCTCTGAGTCCGTAACAGGAAATTTTGTTATTTTAGTATTTTGTAGGGTAAAAATGATAGGGAAAGCCAAGTATATACCAGAAAAGCTCACCATAAGCCCCATGGATGCCACTGCTGTCAAATTCCAGGAGTGTTGGTTGTAAACCTTCCTCATCTCTGATTTGTATTTTAAAATGAATTACCTCAAGAAATGTTAAAAAATCTTAAATTAAGATGAATCTAAACTCTTTGGTAATGCTAGCTGTACAGTGAATGTTATTCCTTCCTCAATCTCTGATTTGTAGTTAAAATTGAATTACC